ATCAAGGTTCAGGCTGATTTTTTACTACTTAATGTGTGACAGTCCAGCTATCTTGGGTGGGGAATCAACTATTTGACAGATACTTTGTTCAGAAGCCATTATCCTATTTCCATGATAGACAGTAAGCAAATGTTTATTGTTAAAACTGTGTGTATTAATTTCTACGGCTGCCCTAACAAAATCCCACAGACTTCATGGCCAAATAGGACAAATAATAAAAATTCAAAATCAAGGTGGCAGTGGGTTTGTTCTCTTCCCAGGTCTCCCCTTGGCTTGCAGGTGACATTGTCTTACTGTGTCTGCAAATGTCTTTCCTCTGCACATTCATCCCTGATGTCTCTTCCTCTTATAAGGATGCCAGCTATACTGGAGGCTCCACCAGAATTTTTTTTTTTTTTTTTTTTTTTTTTTTTTAACTCAGTCACCTTATTAAGGCCCTGTCTCCAAACTGCCACATTCTGAGTTTGGGGCTTCAGCATGGGAATTTGCAGGGTCACAGTTCAATCCCCTAGCACTGTGTGAAAATAAAGCCCTTTTCCATCCCTAGGGTTTTCTCTGCATACCAGGTGAAAGTTTAAAAAACTATGCCCCGCTCCATGATGAAAGTTATTTAAACCCTGAAATAACTCATGCAGAGAAATTAATCTTCTAAGTGTGTGTCCCTACAAGTGCAGTGCTGGGCTTGGCAGGAGGGCAGGGCTCTGCAAATGTATATGTCCAGTTGTAAGGAGCCTGCAGGGGTGAGAGCGGACAGCAGAGTGGATTCTGATGCAGGAAATAACAGGCTATACTTTGCACCCCACCACCCTGGGCCTTTCCCTTGTTCAAGGCCCCTCTTGGCCCAAGGACAGCTGCCTTCAAATGCACCTCTCTCTCAGGGCCCAGTGACTGGACCACCTCATTCCCACCCCACACAGCTGTACCCCAAGCCACAGGGCAAAGCCGGCCCCTCTGCTCAGCCCCAGTACCTGGTATGCCAGGTACTCAGCAGTGTGTGTGCCAGCAGGACTAGTCCTCATCCTTGGGGACAGATCCGAGGCCCATCCACGAAGGGCTTGTAACAGATGGGAAGGGGAAGCTCCGAGAGGTTAAATTCTCAGGCCATCAGAGCAAAGATTCAGAACTAAATTCTCCTGACCCAGGTCTCATGTTTTCACTTTTTCATTCCCCAAACCACCCTGGTATCTGGGGAAATCCAAAGGACTCCTTCTGCAACTGTTTTTAAGTGTATAAAATACAATACAGAGGAATTCCAAGGGAACTAATTACATTGAAATATATACTTCATTAATAGTTGAAGCTACATGATCTAGTAGCAGAATTTCAAAGGACATCTGCAACAATTGTAAGATGATGGGAAAGTCTCTTGTGAAAGACTGTTGGCAAAGACAGCTTAGAACTGATTGATGGTCTACATTTGAAATAGAAAGGAAACGCTAAATAATATGTACTTTCTTCATCCAAGTTCACAAGACCCTGATTCTATCCATAGACACTGGGTGTGAGGATCCAGGCAAGAATGCCTGGTCTGTTAGGGTCTGTGATCTGGTGCCAAGAGGCCCCCCTCTGGTTCTAAGTGGGGCTATTAACTCTGAGAGAAGGGCAATTGCTACTCTCCCTAGACCTTGGGGTTTTGCTTGGGGAAATCTAGGACTACTAGAAAAACAAGTCCCAGTACTTAACACTGGTGTGATGATAATTCTTTGCCTAAACCTCATAGTGCACAAGGAGGGATGCTAAGAGCCATTCCAGGGTCAGGCACTCTGCCTGTTGATGTGGTCGCTGATTCTCACTACACACATATTTGGTAAGAAATTTGCTTTTTGCCAGGTACTGTGGAATTGGTAGGGTGCATAGTCCAGTAGAAAGAGCCAAGAAGTGGGGATGGCAGTAGATTTCCTTGCGTCTGTGTGGGAGCAAGGTGGCAGTCTGGAGTTGCCCACACACTTCCCCCCAGGTCCAGCCTGGAGAAGTCCAGGCCATGCCCAGCAGTTCGGCCAGGAAGGAGCAAGGGGTACAAGGCAGCCTTGTAGCATGGAGGGCATAGAAATCATTCATCCGGAGGGCAGTGGAAGATGGGCAGGGAAGGTGACAACATTCATCCTCAAGTGGAGAGAAAAGAAGAAAGCTTACTTCTGTGTGGCATTTGGAAAGTGAGGGCGCTCACCCACAGATCCTCTCCCTGTTTATCTAATTTGGCCCAGAGTGGAAATCCCTACTTCTCTCAAGACCTGAAGCCTTTGATAGCTTCTTTTTCCTGGCCTTGTTTTTTCCTGCTTGTTTCTGTGCTGGCCGTGACCTTGGGACCAGTTCTGGCCCCAGCCAGGACCATTGCTGTTTCTCCCTCACTAGACATCTGGATCCCACAGTCAGCACAGTTCCCCCTTGAGTTGTGGTCCAGACGTTTGTTTATAAGCCAGGCAGGGCACAGACAGTACTAAAACATCAACAGCAGAGAACTGTAGAATAATTAAAAAGGCCTTGTAGGGCGCAGTTTCCTGAAAGGGTCCCCCTTTTCTTTGTGGCCCCTGAGACGTGTAGGGCAAGAGAAGTTAAGTTTTATCTTTGGGACCAATGACTGACTCATGAGAACCAAGTCCACAGGGTATTCCTGTTAGCTGACCAGAATCCACTCCTTCCCAGGTGCAGAGATAGCAGATGACAGAAGGTTGGTTGGTGAATGTGGAAGCAAACAGGCTAGATTAGAGTCTTGAGGAACATCGCATCCACCAGACACATGGAGGAACTGCCACGGAGCCCACCTGTCGGGCCTGCCGGGCGGACCAGGCTATCCCTGCCTTGATAAGCCACCCTCTGCAGTTCAGTTAGTACCTTTGACTTGGCTCCAGCCTCTCTCACAGTTGGACTTGCATTTGGCTTCTGAGCCCTGCCCTTCCTCCTGGTCCTGGGAGACGTCCAGCTCCAAGGCCTAAGAAGGGCCTTCTGCAGCTGGCAAGTCCTCTTCACAGGGGGCACCCAAGCCCCCTCACAGTGCTCAGTTGGCCCCATGGGGGAAGGACTGGTGACATGCAGGAAAGACCAATTTAAATGACACATTTGAAGTGAAACTTGGTCTAAAACAGTGTTTTACACAAAAAGAGTTCAGTCTAGTTAGCAGCACTAGTTAGCCTCCCTGAAAATGCTTAAAAGAGCAGAGAGTAAGGCGTTGTCATCCAGTGGAAGAGCAGAGACCAAGAGCACATGATTCAAGGCAATTGCCATTGCCCTGTTGTTGCGTGACTCACTCTCTCCAGGGCTCACCATCCTAGCACACTCGTGCTAGCCTGAGTGTTGCAGGAATCAGTGACAACACGAGTAATGTGCCGGGGTCCAGTGATTCTCTGGAAGTGATAGCTGTTGTTGCAGTGGTGGAACATTTTTAAATTCTTTTTCTCCCCCCCAGACAGCCCACTTTGGAAAGGAACTGTTTCCAACTGTCTTAATTCTTCTTTTCCAACAGCTGTGACAAGTTCAGCAATGTCATTTTAGCTTTTCCCTTTCATTTCTGCTCACAGTAAGCAAGCCACCCAGCATTATTTCAATAGAAAGTACTTATTTCAAGGCGTACATTTTCCACCTTAACTTTCGGTGGCTGAGCTGAATATTTTAAGTTCTAAAAAGTTGTTGTTTGCAATTAGGGGGCTATTGAGAATAAAAGAAAAATACTTTTGCTGTTTGAGCTTTGGGACACGTGTTTCATAGAAATTATGTCACTCAATGGCCAGTGTCTCTGGCTTCCCTCTGGTTCAAAGCTTAAACTCTACAACAGCGTGTCTCAGATTTTAGTGAAACTAGCTCAGGGTGCTGAGGGGTGGCAGAGGAAGAAAGGATTTTGTCTTGGGGATGAGTGAAAAGGAAGAACCACTAGAAGAGCATTTGTTTTCCATCAGACTCGGCTAAGATACACTTCTAGTACTTTCATGAAAATCCTCTACTTACCAGGACTTAGGCCCAGGGCCATCTCATTCTGCTGTGATGGGGGTGGAACTGAACCCTGAGTTTAGCTACTAGTCTCTTCAAACACCTTGCCTCAGAGCACCCCTTGCTAGGGACCTTTCAGACAGAACAGTTTCCTCCAAGTGAGGAAGAGAAGGGCAATTCATCTCTTTAAAGTTGAAATCATAACAAAGGTGAAGATACCAGGCATGTGGAACATCGGCTGCGGAAAGCAGCAGGCCGTGAGCCAGAGAAAGGCCGTGGTAGCTGAGCCAGCCATGCTGCAGCAGGGCTGCCCAAGTCCTTTGGAGTTCTTATCTCACCATAACTTCCCACAGTGCTGGACGCTGACTTACAGGATTTAATGTTTGACCTGCTGGGTTTCAGTTTTGCTTTCATCCCGTTCCTCCTTTTTGGAATAGGAATCTACCCTGTGCCATTGTACGTCAGCAGTATTTATCTTCTTTTTTATTTTTATAGGGGCTAACAGCTAAGAGTTTGGATTAAGTCTCAAGGAAACTTTGGACGTGGACTTTCCAGAAGGACTGGAACTGTTAAGACTGGCAATTGTTAAATACAGTTTGCATAAGGAGATGTGTGTGTGTCTTGGGAGTCAGGGACAGAGTGTTATGGTTTAAATCTAGATGTCCCAGACTGGGGATTTAACTCAGTGGCACCACACCTGCCTCATAAGCACAAGGTCCTGAGTTTGATCCCTGGTACTGCAAAAAAAAAAATTAGATCCCCCCGCCGACCAAGAGCTTCATGTGTTCATAGATGGGGCTTTTAGAAGAAGCCTGGATTATGGTGGTGCTGAAGCTAACTTGCTGTTAGAAGCGGGGGGGTCTGGTCAGAAGAGGTGGGTCACTGGGGCACAGACCAGCTGCAAGAAGGGGAGCAGCAGGTCCTTCCCCATTCTGCTTCTGCCCAGGAGCCAGCCAACTATGGACTGAAACTTCTAAAAAAAAAAAGCCAAAATAAACCTCTCCTCTTTTCATTTGTTTGTGTTGGGTATTGAATCGCAGCAGTGAGAAAGTGACTGAGATGGTTGTTTTGTCTTACAGATTTATCACCAAGACTGTTGAAAGGCTAACCGTTGTCGGAGATGCCGGTCCCCCCACCACCGGCGCCCCCACCGCCACCCACATTTGCGCTGGTGAGTGTCTCCTCTCCATTCACTTTCCATGCCTATTGCAAGCCAAAAGAAGTCAAAATCTGGCACACGGGTGTGCATTTTGAGCAAGTATGCATTCTGGCCTGGGTGTGATAGAGCAGGCTTTGCCAGGGCAGCATAAGCCAACCTGAGACCTCGGAAATCTAAACACCATGAAGGGTTTGTTTGGTTAATGACTGCTGCCACATACAGTGTGAGCATGGAATGGGGATCCTTAGGTTTCCTTTGATGTGCCCGTCCAGGGAAACATGGTGGCCCAGGACAAGGATTTGCAGGAGCCGTTCTAAGGCCAGCGTGCAGCCTACTCAGCATCCAGCCTTTCACTCCTGGGTAGACAGACCGGAAACCCAGGTCTCTGTGTGTGGTGCGTCCAGTGTGTGTCATCCGTTCTGCTCCCTTTTTCTCTGCCTTCTCCCCTTTCTTTCCACTGTTTTTGAACTGTCAACCCCACCCCCACCTGTCCCACCTAAACTCACATCCCCTTTTAGCCTGTCCTTTCATTTCAATGTTTGCTTCCTGAGGGAATTTCTTCACTGGAGTTAACCCTGGTCCTCTAGAGGCCCGTGGGAAAATTAGTACAGCCTGTTCTGGGGAGCCACACAGTGCTATGAAACGGCTCCAGGACACACTCCACTATCGGGGCCTCCCTTCGTGCATCTGCACTAACTGAGGAGCCTCACACTGGTGCTCCCTTCATTTTCATATAGGGAAGCTGAGGCTTGGCGAGACAGTCACTGTTACCCATTCATTTTGTCACAGTAGGCATTGCATCAGGACAAAGGCTTTACCACTAATCTATATCCCTAGCCCTTTTATATTACACAAATTCATTGTTATTTTACAAAGTCTATTCTGGATTTTTTTAAAAAGTTTTTAAAAACTGGTCTTTTGCATAGATAAATCTGTGGGGTTCTGATCTGGCTGACATAGCAAGATTGGTTTCTATGTCTCCCAAAATGTGAGTTGTATATCACTGCTTGATAGTAATGGATTAATTTTTTGAATTTTAATGCTTATGTATTTATTTTAATATATGTTCTAAAATTATGATTGGCACATCAAATTCAGGGTTTAACAGTGATAATTTAATATATTCATTGACAAATAGTATCCAAATTGTGTTCAATATTGAATACTCAATATATTACTTACTATATTGGTGTGATAAAGATATTAAATATTAACAGGTGTCATGAGAAGACTGCACGAGAATGATGAAAGTTTGAGGGGCCCTTGTTTATCCTATCAACTAATTTCTATCCGTTGTTATCTAACTCAAAGCAAGATCCTATAGAAATAGGATAAAGAGAGGAAGAAAAGGAAAGGAGGGTCTCTGGTCATCATGTGACATTGTTAAGAGCTCTGATCTGCCACATGAGACTGGCTAACACCACGGAAGTCAAGTGTCAGAATAAATTTTGAAGCCAAACAGGAAGCCATCGAATGTTGGTGATCCCAAATTGTTAGAGATCCAATTTGGCATTTCATTTAACCTTCCTAGGCCTGAGTTCATTTTCATTCTTAAAATGAAGACAAGGTAATTTTTAAAGCTCTTTCCTGGATGTCCAGGGTATGCTGTTAACTAGAAAAACAAAAGTTCAGAGCAACAGAGAATAATCCACTAGCACATGCAAGCTGTAAGTGCAGGGCACTTCTGAAAGGCCACCTGAGAAGCTCTAAGCAGGCTGTCTGGGGCACGCTGAGGGCTGCTGGAGAACAGGCATTTCCAGCCCACTCTGTCCCATCATAGGGAAGGCCCTGGAGTCAGACTGTCAGTGTTTGAATCCTAGCTCCTCCTTTTACTGTCTGGTGATGGAGCAAAGATAAAATCTTTCTATGCCTCAGTTTTCTTGTCTGTGAAACGAAAACAACTCACAGTTGATGAGGACTAATTGAAATAATACATATAAGATGCTGAAAACAGTGCCTGGCCCAGTGTAAAAGCTAATTATTACTACCACGAGCAAGTCATCTTTTATAATTTAATTATTTCAAGACACGTCCAACTTAACACACAGTGATTCCATGTAGCCTACTTCAGGGATTTTCTGTGCTCTCTAGTTCTGCTAAAGGGAGGGTGTGTGAGATGGCAAGTCGCGCCATTCTCCAGCTTTCCCTCTTGTGGTCCTCACTGGCCCACATGAAAGCACATTCCATCCAGGAGGGCTGGGGCAGCCTAGGAAGACTTTCAGGTCCTCCAGGGCCAGAGGAGCCCAAGGCAGTTTCCAAGTGTGACAAACAGGCAGTGCGTACCTCCATGTCCACATGCTGGGCTCTTACTGTCTCTGCTCCTAAATGACCCTGAAGAAACAAGACTGATGTTCAGGAACTCTAGAAATATAGGAACATATGCAAACATTGTAAAGCAATACCTTTGTCCACTCTTCAAGTTCTCTGAGCTATATTTTCAAATGGATTAAACATCAGAACAAGCCAAGGGGATGCCAGGGGACTTTTGAGAATAAGGAAAATGTTCTGTATTTTTATTGTGGTATGCTCATTAAACTGTATATGTTTGTCAAAACTCACAGAACGGTAAACTAAAAAGATTATTTCACCATATGTAAATTATACCTCTATAAATCTCACTTAAATATTAAGCATCTTTGTGATGGTATTAAGAGGAAATTGTTTTCTGAAATTTCGGTGTTATTAAACCCACTTTTATTTATTAGAGACCATTTCTACCTTGTACCAGGTTAGTCCTACAAGATGGGAAAGGGATCCCATCTTCAGATCATACCCTGGAGAATGAAACCTAAAGCGTCCTGCAGAACCCTGAAACTGCAGGTTCCCTTGTTGGGTGTAGCCATCGACCCTCACCTGGCTCTGCTAGTTACAGGCAGATGGTGGTCCCAATTTTCAGGTATTTAGCAGAAGCCAGCTCCATGCCTTGAAAATGAATGCAATTTACTGCTGCATCTGCTCTCAAATGTCTAGGTCATAAAAAGAATAACACGGGGTCCAAAACTTGTGGAGGGTTTATAGCCTATCACTAAGATCCTAAATAGCATACTTCCAGTCCCTGCCTATCCAGCTGAGTAGTGTAATGCATGATTTTAATCCAGGAGCTGATTTGTGTGGTTTCCTTGCAGGCCAATACAGAGAAGCCTACCTTGAATAAGTCAGAGCAGGCTGGGAGAAATGCTCTTCTGTCTGACATCAGCAAAGGGAAGAAACTGAAGAAGACAGTCACCAATGACAGAAGTGCACCAGTATTGGACAGTAAGTGAAAAAGCTATTTCCCAGGAGGCAAGATGGTTTATGGCCTAACAATCAACTCTACCCCTCCTTCAAAAAATTTTTTTTTGTTTAACAACAGCTGCAAAGCTAGCAAAATAAGGGATTGTACCACTCACTATAGGCCACAGCTTTGACTTGGGTTCCGCTCTAATGCAGCAGGAAGCCAGTATAGTAATTCTTTGTCCAAAACATACACAGCAGCAATTCTCTGAATTACTCACAACACTTTTCTGTAGTTTAACCCAGTGCTCTGGCACCACAGATGAGGAGATGGCCATGAAATATGGAAAGTGCCCTAGCCGTGGGGTCAGAGGATGTGGGCACATCCATTGTGTGCCATCTCCAAGTCCCCTTGTCTTCATTTGTGAAGCGGAGATGGATACCTGTTCTGCTGGCATCATAAGTTTGTTTTGAGCTTCAAATGAGCTTGTTCAAAAGTGCTTTGTTGTCTGACAGTATAATTCAGGTGTAAGATGTGATTAGCAGGAATTTGGAGAGAGTGGAAACGAGATCATTTATCAACCCATCTGAACCTGAGATAACTTTGTACAAGGCAGGGTATGTATAACTAATGCCCACAACACAGGGCTACTTATTAGCATTTTTGACAGGATAAAGAATTATCCATGACTGGAATCCACTGATCATTAATAATCAGGCCTTTCACATTCTTAGACCTTTCCATTGCCCACCAGATATTACTAGACCTTGCTTGGACTCAGAAAATGCACTGACCTTCCACAAATCACCACGTGGAGTTTTGTAGATGAGTGAATAAAGATGCAGGATTTTAGCAAAGTAGATTAGTAGTGCTTGGCCATCACTGGGAAAAATGCCTATGAGCAGAGAAGAAGAAGGATCAGAGTTAGAGGGGTGTGGGAAGGAAATGAAAAAGAGGAAGATTAAAATAAGGTCTTTGAACACCGCTCTGCTACCAGGCAAGGTGGTGCAAATGAGAGCATACCACTCCTCAAAAAAAAGGGAACTGGAGGTTTTTTGACTCTTGATTTGAAACAGTGTAACCTCTGGGTCAGAACACCCATCAGTGTCACAGGATTTTCCCTGGGATGGACCCAGCGCAGTCAGTTATATTTGGCAAGCTGTGGTCCAACAGCCGTCTGAGTGTGGGGTTAAGAGGCTAGCAGCTCTCTCCACTATGAAAGGAGCCTGCTGCCCTGGAGAGGAAGTGCAGATTCCCTACCAATGTTGAAGGAAACAACATTCTGGGCCTATTCCTCAGTCCAGTGGAACTCAGTGTATTCTTGAAGGTCCACTTCTCCTGTTATAAGGAAACAGTGTTAGTCCTTCCCTCTAGCTGTTCAGTGATATTTAAGAGTATACTGCTTCTGCCAGGCATGCTGGCACATGCCTGTAATCCCTGCTACTTGGGAGGCTCAGGCAAGAGAATTGTTACATTCAGGCCCAGCCTGTGCAACTTAGCAAGACCCTGGAAACCCTGTTTCAAAAGAAAGCTTCACTCAGTGGAAGCAGGATGTACAAGATGAACCCAGTGTGTGTCCTTGTGGCCCGGGCACTTCACTGGACAGCTTTCCTGTTGTCACAAGCTCTTTGCAGGTGGCAGCGTTTGTCCATGGCATTGTCTTTGATTGCATGTGAACCCCTGTGGGCTCTATATTAAAATGTTGCCCATGATTATGCATGACAGCTCTTAAATTCAGCCCTGTCCTGCAGTCCTACAGTTTATACAAAATTACCTGGGGATAGTTAGCTATCCTTAATTTCAGCTTTTTGTATTATTCTATTTTCTGTTCCTATAACAAAATACCAACTAATTCAAATGTTGTATAAATTATTCCCAAACAGGAAGAGATGAAAAACTGTTAGGTATAAGAAACTGTCATTATCCTAATATCAAAATTTGGCAAAAACAGCACACTAAAAAGAGAATGTTGTTCATAAGTGTTTTTTATGGTGATTTTCATCTCCCATGAGACGTGACAATGTCTGAAGACATTTTTCCATGTTTTTGTGTATGTGTTTTTGTTTGTTTGAAGTGCTGGGGATGAAGGCAAGTACTCTGCCCTTGCTGCATCCCTAGTCCTGAAGACTTCTGCAGTTCTTACAACTTTGGTAGGAGTAAGGGACACCTAGTGGGCAGAAGACAGAGATGCACTAAACCTTAGTAAGCCTTCTATAAAGAACAGGATAGCCACCAACAACAGGGAATTATCTAAAACTAAATGTGAGTACAGTAGTTCCAAAATTAGGAAACCTACCTCAGATAACTTATGATCATGGATGAGAGAATACCACATTAAAAAAACAGAAACCTAATCATGTTATAAAGATAATTCACTAAGCCCAAGATTTATCTTTTTTTTTTGGTACCATGGATCAAACTCGGAACCTTGCACTTGTGAGGCAGGCGTTGGCACCACTGAGCTAAATCCCTGGCCCGATTTATCCTTTTTTTTTTTTTGTACCAGGGATTGAACTCAGGTCATTGCACTTGTAAAGCAGGCCACCGAACGGCTGAGCTAAATCCCCAGCCCCCAACTTATCCTATTTTTAATACTAGATTTAAAATGTATCCATCTTATCAAAAAAGAAAAAAACTACATAATCAAATTAGTATATATTAAGTCAGCATTTGATAAAATTCCATGCTATAAGAAAGTCATAAAAATCTAAAATAGAAGGATCCTTTTTGAATGTAAATATTTTTTAAAAGCCTATTTCAAACCAATAGTATTAGAGGCAGTCTTACTAAAATCAGAACACAGCTTTAGCACCATTAATAATTCATGTTGTTATGGAAGTCCATCCATCAAAGTAATTATCTGTGTATAATAAAAGATACACACCTCTTAGAAGAGGGATTCAATGGCATTACGATTTGCAAACCATTTGTGTACCAGAAAATGCAAGGGCATAAATTTTTTGTAAATTTTAACTCAGAATATACAGCAGAGTGGCTTACTAGTTATCAAATGGAATTTCCTGTGCCAATAACAACCAGTTATAAAATATAACAGGAAAATAACTCTTTTACAATTTTAACAAACAAAAATGTATTCATAGTTCAAAAACTTTTTAAAAAATTCAAAAGATGTGACTAGATAGGACAGTATACATTTCTAAATGTGAAATGTAGACATACAGTTCTCCCAGATTAATTTATGCATATGATTTATTGAACAAAGACTGAATCTGGTTTTAGAGGGGTAGGACTTTAAACAGTATTTAACCTCATAAATATAAACATACATACAGTCTTGGTTACTTTCTCATTGAGGGGACAAAATACTGGACACCCACAAGTTAAAGGAGGAGAGGTTTATTTGGCTCACAGTTTATAGAGGCTCCAATCCATAGTTGGCTGGCTCCAAGGCAGGGTGGCATGGCGGATGGACATCACAGAGGAGAAACCCCTTATGACATGGCAGTCAGGAACCAGAGAGCCATCAGAGGAAGAGGAGGGAGGGAGGGCCACACCTACTGCTACCCATCTCTTCCCAACAGGCTTGCCTCCCAACCTCCCAGCATCACACCCAGCTGTAAACCTATCAGTAAACTAATCCAGTATCACACACCCACGATCCATTCACCTCCCCACATCTCCAACTATAAGTGCATGAGGGTTAGGGGGGACGCCTAGCTATAAGTCATAACACATACATGCATGAATAATTAGGTGATTAATTTTTAAAGAGGGTATAATCGTGGCTCTCATGGAAATATAAAATGAATGTTAGCATTCTACTTAACTCATTAACTAATGAAGAAACCAATATGATGTTATTAGTTCAAAGAAAAATACAGTACAAAGTATCACACATGTAAGTACTGAAACAAACTTATAATTAGGTGCAAAACAGGTCAGTAATCAATTCCATTGAACTGAACAAAGTAATTTGCATTTCTTTAGACAAATATAATTTGCATTACCAGCAGTTTTCTACAATGTAAAGAGTTATAAAATAGCTCAGCTGGGTGTGGTGGCACACCTGTAATCCCAGCACTTAGGGGCTGAGACAGGAGGATTGTGAGTTCAAAGACCACCTGGGCAACAGAGCATGACACTGTCTCAAAAACAAAAGAAAAACAAAAACAAGCTGGGCATGGTGGCAAATGCCTTTAATGCTCAGCACTGGGGAGACTGAGGCAGGAGGATCACGAGTTCAAGGCCAGTCTAGCCTACATAGTGAGAACTTGCCTCGATCAAAACAAAGCAAAATAGTGCAAAGGTGGTGGGAAATAACTCAGAAGGCAAGACAGGATATTCAGTAATCTTTCTTTTTCTTTTTTTGTTTCCCATTTCAAAATCTTTCACAATTTTTTGCAAATAAAGGCAAAATAAAATCTTATGCCTTCTTAATTAGCCAAAACTTTTTAAGTTGTTAAAGCCTACTGTGCTGTTTTATGATATTAAAAAATGAAATCAACATAAAAGGCCATCAAATGAGTGGATAATTAAATTATAATACATTAATGTTTTAAAATATAATGTAGTCCTTTAATCTCATGTGTTCAAAGAATAGTGACATGGGAAATGCTAACAATAAAGAGGTTAGTGGTTTTTTTTTGTGTTCTTTTCTTTTTTTTGTACTAGGCATTGAACCCATAGCTTTTTTCACACTTTTTTTTTTTTTTTTGAGACAGTCTCACTAAGTTGGCCAGACTGTGCTCAAACTTGTTCTCCTCCTGCTTTGGCCTCCCAGAGTACTGGATTCCATGTGTGTGCCACCAAGCACAGATGAATTTGTTCTTAAGAAAAAACATAAAGTGAAAAATACAGGAAAAAATACACTTTAATACTGGATATTTTCATGCCAGGCGTGGTGGTACACGCCTGTAATCCCAGCACTTGGGAGGCTGAGGCAGGAGGATCGCTGTGAGTTCGAGACCAGCCTGGGCTACATAGTGAATTCCAGGTCAGTCTCAACTACATAGTGAGACCCTGTCTCAAAAAACAAACAAATAAACAAACAAAAATACTGGATATTTTCAAGGAATAAACTATGTGAGATACTTTGTTTTCTTCAGTTTTCCTTTTTACTATTTCCCCTTTTATTTATTTATTTTTACTATTTGCTTTTTTCTCACTTTTATTGCATCTCTCCCCCTTGGGACCCTTCCTTTGTAGATGCTTTTATTTGCTAAATCTTAGGCTAGAGGACAAATAGATATCAACACATAGGACAGCCAGTCAAGCTGGTATGAGGACAGAATGTCATCTCTTACTGTTTTTTTCACTACTGTGCTGGGCTCAACGTGCAGCTGAAAGAAAACCCCTCTATTCTGCCCAGGGGTGAGGCAAACCCCTAAAATCCTGCAGCTGAGGGGAGAAATCACAACTGTCCCTCAGAGGCCCAGGTTTAGCCTGTGCCCTCTCTTATCATTGTTTCATGGTTTCCTTGGGCAAGGACTGGTGCAGTGCTCAGGTGGGCATTTTCATAGATATATTTTCTTCCTTTTGCAGAGCCCAAAGGAGCCAGCGCTGGTGGTGGTGGAGGCTTTGGGGGAAGCAGCGGGTTTGGTGGAGGAGCAGGCAGCGGTGGAGGAGGAAGCAGCAGCGGTGGTGGCAGTTTTGGAGGCGGCGGACCTCCAGGCTTGGGAGGACTGTTCCAGGCTGGAATGCCCAAGCTGAGATCCACGGCCAATAGAGATAATGGTAACAGGTTTCCTCCTCTGAGTAACTAAGGAAGAGGCAGTGTTTGTAAGCTTGGCTCGACTAGGGCTCTGTGCCCTTTAGAAATTTTACATGTTAAGGTGCTATTCCTGTTTTATAAGAAAACCTACTTAGCTTGCTCTTCCTCTCTTCTGCCCTTCTTCCCCTCCCTCTCTCCTTTCCTCCCTTCCTTCTTCCTTTCCTTCTTTTATCATTCAGGATCATCCATAGTGCTATAAAATATTTGCCCATGTTTTGGGGGGTAACCTGTACTTTCCTGTACTTTTCTAAAGGGTGAGCTAGAGTAGGAAGAAAAGGAAGGAACACACAGAACTTGGCACCCTGGAACTCTGCCCTGCGGCCTAGCAAGTGCAGCGTTCTTTGTGAGGTAGCCTGCCTCAGCTAGCAAAAATACTTTGTGAGCCACTTTTCTGACACAATAGGAAATCTGAAAAGGTGTTTTGCATGAGACATTTGATATTTCAGAGCCAGGGATTGTAAGGCTGAAAATCCCTTATCCAAAATGCTTGAGAACAGAAGCATTTTGGATTCCAGATTTTGGATGTTTACATATGCATATTGAGATATCTTTAGAATAGAACCCAACTGTAATCACAAAATTCATTATATTTTGTATAGACCTTATATGTATAGCCTGAAGCTAATTGTATGCAATATCTTTAATAATTTTGTGCATGAAACAGAGTTTCATGGTATGGAATTTTCCACTGGTGGTGCCCTGTCAGCATTCAGAAAGTTTCAGATTTAGGGTTGGGGTCTGGCTCAGAAGTAGTGTGCTTGCCTAGCATGCACAAGGCCCTTAGTTTGAATCTTAGTAACACACACACATGCACACAAAGCTTCAGATTTTGGAGCATTTTAGATTTTCAGATTTCGGGATGCTCAACCTGTGTTTTCTGCAGGGAGCCATGTAAATGAGTCCTATAGGATTGTCTGTGCACCTGGTCATGCCTACATGAAAAACAGTGTACACGAGGCCTTCTCTTGGCTACTGCAGAAGTTCAAATTTACTGTGAAACTTGTTGGGGTGGTAATGTTTCTCGTGTTACAAAGATTTTATTCTTATTTCTGTAATCTTCTAAAAATGTCCTATGGAAAAGTATGAAATTCTCACATTCCTCTGAAAATAAAATGTCTGAATCCTCAGGGTTCCTGACTTATTTTAACACTGGATGGTCAAAATCTAGAAAGAGGCCCCATAACATGAGAGAGCCTATCTTGCCAGACTTGTGTTTAAATTTAAGCTTAGTTATTTTAAAACCCACCCAAAGGGATTGAGGGAGCTTGACAAATGCATACATTCAGTACTTTAATGGTAGGTGAAAAGGTATGATAAAAGATAGAAAGTAAAATAGTAGATAAAGATGGGATCGAAGTAGGTGTACAGATTGTCCTGCAGAAGGCCTCTGCCTGTATTAGGTGGGTGGCGAACCTATGGCACACGTGCCTCAGCAGGCTGAGTAGTCATTGAGAGCTCTAAACAGTTCGGAATCACTTATCTGGAATAATGGCTGATGAGTAGCAGGCGTTCGATAAATGTTTGACACCTTCATTAGCCTATGACTGAAGTGGTAGAGTTTTAAAGCTAACCATTTTTTCAAGAATGTATCTTGGGTTTCAGGAGATTGGAGGAGAGGGGAAGATTGTTGGTATCTTTTGTTTCCTCCTTTAGTTTCTCCTTAACTAGCAGTTGAAGCAAATTTGTCTCAACCAAAGCAGCTACAGGGTTCTTCTGTCCTGCTAGCACCGAATTGGAAGTTGACCCAGTAAGGAAAAAAGTTGTATAATTGCCTACATCTTTGCGAATGAATTCCTTCCACTGGTGTTGATTCTTTTTTCTTTTCTTTCTTTTATTTTATTTATTTATTTATTTATGGAATGGGGATGGAACTTCGGACCTTGTGCTTGCAGCGCAGGCAGCGGAACCACTGAGCGAAATCCCCAGCGGTCTTGATTCTTTTAATTAAATTTTGTCCATAAGTTTCTTTTTCCTTAGTTCTTTCTTAATGCAGTCATAACTCTCCCAGTAAATTCTCCCTATTCTTGGACACGTCTTTGCAAAGGGACTAGATAAGCCTGTACATATGAAGAGTCATCTGAAATAACTAATTTTTTCACTCAAGGCAGCAGAATAATTTAGAATTTGCAGGTGGGGGTAAGTGAAAATCATTAGCAGAAATACCATCTCCCTGGGTCATCTCGCTCCTACCCTCTCGCAATGAATAGGAGCTTCTCCACACTTGACGTCAATAGATCTCTCTCTCTCTCTCTCTCTCCACAATCCTTTTTAAAGCTGATGGAGTGTACAGCCTGGGATTTGAAAGGAAACAGAGCTGGGGCCTGTTCCTCTTTAGGAAAGACCGCCCAAAATTCGGTTTAAATAAATAATAGCAACCTATGTTTTAAACCACTCTGGAATGGTCTTGCAGTAAGCCAGCGAGGTCTTCGGGGTTTTCAGTGGTTCTAACTGGGTATCTATCTGCCTGTTCTGTAGATTCTGGAGGAAGCCGAGCACCCATTCTACCACCAGGAGGAAGATCGGCATCTGCCAAGCCCTTCTCGCCCCCCAGCGGCCCTGGGAGGTTTCCTGCCCCTTCTCCGGGCCACCGCAGCGGCCCCCCGGAGCCTCCCAGGAACCGTATGCCTCCGCCGAGGCCCGACGTGGGCTCAAAGCCCGAGAGCCATCCCCCTCCAGTACCGAACACGCCGAGACCCAG